ACATAAGCGCACAGTGCTCCTGCAAACGTTAACAGCGCCGCAGCTGCTGCATCAGCACCATAAATAATTTGCACAAAATGTCGGCAAAAAAAAAAAAAAAAAACAGTGAATGTAATGTAAAAGAGATGGAAAAAAATGCAGAGCATAATGCAAAATAAAATCAACAATTATGCTTCACTTTGCGCTCGGTAATTATGGAAAAATGTCAACAAGCTTTGGCCCATGTTGTTGTTATTGTAGGTTAAGCGTGGTTAGGGCCTTGGCCACTGTTGGTTTTTAATTTCAAACACGGAAACTGGCAAAAGAAACGAGAGTTGGCTTACGCGCGACTGGGGTGTGGGAATGCTGGGTGTTTGGTGACCGCTCAAAGGATATACGAGTGCGCACTCAAAGTTGCGTTTTGTGCACTTTTACGCCGTGGGCAGTGGGTCGGGCGGCCGGGGGACGGGGGCCGGAGATGCCGCAAGTTGACACCAGTAATTAACATAAGACAAAAGGCAGCGAGTCCAGTTTTAAGTGTTGCGCTCTTTGCCGCCGCTTTGCACTTTACAGTGATTAAAGTAAATTTACCTGAAGTCCTTGAATCTGTTTGCCTGTGTGCGTGCATGTGTGTGTGTGTGTGCGTGTAAGTGCTATAAATGTTTGCCAGAATCTCGTTGCGCATAGAAAGAGCAGCAGCAGCAGCAGCAGCAGCAGCAGCAGCTTGATGTCGGGGTCGTGGTCGTTGTCGGGGTCGGGGTCGTGGTCTTGCTAGTGGCACTCCAAGGTGTCGGGGTCGTGTTTTAATCTTAGGCATTATCAAAGGTTGCCTAGCACTTGCTGGCTGCTGTTGTTGTTTGTCATTTCCGCTTGTCGCGCACATAAGTATGCAACACTAGCGAATTTCTGCTGCTGCAGACACTTGGCAATGCATCAGCATCAATATTGGCACTGACTGTCACTCGATGCATGCCAGAAAGACACCCGAAATTGATAGCTGAGCTATAAATAGCTATGTAGCCATGTGTGTGTGTCTAAGCAGCTGCCAAGTGGGTGAGTGTGTGTGTGAGTGAGCGTGTGTGTGGGCTATTAGCGGTTACTTGGTGGCTGCCTAAGCTGATTGTTGCTTTTAAAACTGAAGAGCTGAACATGATATTTGGTTGTTTGAGTTATAAATACATTTCGTATATATATAAGTATATTCTTTCTTTTTTATTTATTTTTTAAACTTTTTTTATATTTTGTTTTAAATGAGGAGAATTTGTATAACAAATTTATACTTTGAAATATTATTCATTTTTCGTATATAAGTAGTGGATGAAAAAAATAAAAATAAAAAATACAATTTAAAGTAAATTGATGAATTCTTTTTTATATTTGAGAGTGCGATATGACAGACAATGAATGCAAAGTATGAATAGGTAAATAATAGGCAAACAAGTTGGAGAGGAGTGATATTCCAATGTTGTAAAATGAGAATATAGGAATGTTTATGAGATAGTAAGTGAAGCCTTATGTTCAATATAAATGAATCATGTAAATCATGGATATTATTATACTCCGTCAAAAACTATAGTTAGTTTAAAGTATTCACATTTTAAAGATAAATATGTTTTCTGAATAAGTAAGATGTATTACATTTCCATAGACACATGCATATTTACATATAAATCAGCAATTTTAAATACATATACAGTCGAACATTAAGTAATGTTAGGAATATCAAAGCTATTTGGATAAATTCCTACAAGCTAACATTCATTTTATAAGTTCTACAATACATTTATCTATTCATTTAATATTTAATACATTTGTATTAAATTGAAAAGAAATATTTATTATTTATATGAATTTTTTCATATTGAACAGATATAAATCTGTTCTTCGTCAGAACAGCTTTATTTATTTATTTTTTTTTATTATAAAAATAAATTTATTGCATTAGTATCTAAATGTTTATTGAAAATATCCAAAAATATTGAACCTATTCAGCTGAGCTGCAGTGTAGGTTACTCAAATTTCTTCATATCAAATTTTTAAATTTGCCTTTGCATAGCCTCAGTCAATCTGAAAATAAATGTACATAAAATAAAATCCGAAATTAACTGAAATTTTCATTTACATTTTCCTGGTAGAAACTTGAGTTTGAACCTTTTCAGGGCTAAGCTTAAAAGTTTTGTTTGTCCCTTTCAATGAATTGTAGTTTATGATTTCCTTCTTTGATTTCATTTGTTTTTTTCTTTTTCATTTTTTTTTTATATAAATATCAGGAGTTATTTTGGGTACGATTCATATTTCAAAGACCAAAACAAATGCAGTTGACATTTTTACGTCTTTAAGCTCAGAAGAGTCTGTGTGTGTGTGTGTGTGTGTGTGTGTATGCCTGGATGTGTTTTTTGCTTTTTCGATTTGTGTTTGTCCTTCACATATGCCGCCCTCTTTGCGCCCCGCCTTTGTCTCGAGACGCTGGCAAAAAGGTTGCCCATTGAACATTTCATAATGGCGAGTGAAAAGGACACTTTAGCAGTTCAAACGGCTTCAAAGTGACAACACCGATCCCATTTTGTATACTCATTCACGATAGTGAAATGGGTATATTGACTGTGTGCAACCTTTGAGGCGTGGCAAATTGCTTCAAACCGCATCCTACACAGTTTTATAGCTAGAAAATCCAAACTGCAAATCGGAAAACTAATCTGGCCCAAACACTGGCTGTGAATGAGTATTGTGCAGTCGTTAACACCCGACTGCAACGGTTTTACATGCTGGTTCTCTTTGTTTTATATGGTATTCGAGTCCACCTTAGCACGTGTAATCGTGCTGGCATCGGGCTCCTCTTGGCATTCCGTGTGGATGACTGTAATTTAATGCCGCTTCAAGCGAATCTAAAATATCGAAATGGTGCGTAAAAAATTGTTTTGTTTGTGTTGTTTTTTATTGTAGCTGGAAAATTTAGTGTTTATTTCGCTGCTGGCAGCGAAAACACATAAATAATTTCAGCCGGAGCATTTTATGTTAATTTTTTTGGTTCTTGTTGGAGTTTTGTTCAAAGAAATTTGTTCCACAATAAATGGCACAAAAATACTAATTACCTGAATGTCTATAAATCAAAAATGTAAAAGCAAATTAACAGAAAAAAAGAAAAAAGCAAAAAATATACAAAATTTAAACAAGTTTGGCAAATAAATCAGAATTTAAAAAGAAATAAATAAAAAAAAAATTAAATAAAATTTAAAAATATAATTGCAAGATTTCCTAGATTTGTGTGTTAGCATTTTATGGAAAGTGATAAAAGTCTATTGATTTTACATTATTTTTCTCCATTTTTCAGCATTAATGCATGTTGATGTCAGTGGAATTAGAGATTAAACAATTGGAATATACATATAAATATTAGATGATATCATCTGCCTATAATCTACTTAAAAAAATTAGACTTTATCTCTAAATATTACTAATTTCCAATATATATATATATAAATTATAAAAAGAGGGTTAGGCTATAAAATATTTCAAAATGTGATAATAGAAACAACAAACATTTTCAAAAAAAATTAAAAAAAAAAATTTTTTAATATTTCTTCAAATATTGTGTTTAAACTATTTAAGGGGTTTGTTCGAAATTCTTATAAATTTGTTCATTTAAAGTAGCTTATTCAACAAATAAATTTGTAAATCTATATGTGAATCTTTAAATAAATAAATACTTATATACATTTTAATTTTTGTAGTACTGCTTAAAAATTTAATGGCAAAAATGAAAATAAATATAAGCATAAAATAAATAAATACAAAATGCAAAGAGAAATGCGTAAGAATCTAATGTACGTGGAGTAAAAATATGATAAAATTAAACCGCTCTAAGCTGCTTAAGATTTTTCGCTCTATTTGGCTAGATTTCAGGTCGAGAGAATTGGGTAAGGAAGTAAAATAATATTACACATACGCCAGGTAAACAACGTGAAGCTTGACTGGAATACATTGTTGTAGATTTTAATAGAATTTCATGAAGTCTAAGAAAGAGATTGAGAGTGAGAGATAGAGAATGAGAGAGTGGGGAATAGAGAGAGAGAGAGAAAAAGTATTGTTCGGATTCGAGAGAGAATGAAAAGCTCTTAAGAAGTTGATTACAGTGATGGCAAGCCAAGAGCCAAACTGGCCAAAAAGTTTATTTGGCCATTTACTGGCGCCTGGTAAAAGCCAGCAAAGATGTTTTACTTAAGAACCGAAATGATATACGTGAGCAAGTGTGTGTGCGTGTGTGTGTGTGTGTGTGTGTATGTAGCATTTATCTATCATGTTTGTAATCACTTTTCATTAGGTTTTGTGGCTGAAGACTTTTCGGTTCTGATTCGGATTCGGACTCTCTCTTTAAGTGTGCGTGTGTGTGTGTGCGTGTGTGTGTATGGCTACTGCCCATTTCGAATGGCATTCGCATAAAAGATTTTCGCACATGCTCCAGAATTTTCAAGTGTAGAAAAAACTTTTTTAATTGGAAAACACATTTAAGTGGATTTTGTGTGCTACCCCAAACCCCCTTTGCTCTAGCCTTCATAGCGTGTGCATTTGTGTGTAAGTGTGTGTGTGTGTGTGCGTGAAAGTTTTAATGCTGTTTATTTTCGTTTCCCCTGCTTTCTTTTGAGCAAAGTATCGCATTTAAAGTACGAGCATAACAAAAAACTTTTGCTGCTATTGTCGTTGCTGTTGCTCTAGTTGCTGTTGTTGTTGTTGTTGCTGTTGTTGCCTTTGACTTGTTTAATGTGCAATGTGCAATGTGCAATTATGTGAAAGAGACTTGAGCATTTCCCAGAGCATTACTAACTCATAGTTTATGCATAATGTCGACTTTCATTTCATTAGTTTACCCCCAACTGCAATTGCAGCGCATAAATAAATGTTGTTTTTCTCAGCTCTCTCTCTCTCTCTCTCTTTTCCTTCTTTCTTTTTTACATTTATTATACGCCACACTGGAGATTCCTGCCAAAGTAGTAAACAACATTTTAATGTTTTTAATATTTCACAGCTTCGCTGCAAAAATGTGTGGGCATTGCATATTGCTGCTGCTGCTGCTGCTGCTGCTGCTGCTGCATATTAGCCAAGTTCGAAGGCAGCTCTTGGCTATGCTTGCCGCTGCCTATTAGGAGCCAGCCAACTCTCTAGTCAACACAGCTCATTAAAACTTTCGCTTCCCTTTGCTCGTCTATCCAGCAAGCGTATTTCAACGAGCACCACTCCCTCCATATATATTTTTTGCCATGCATATATACCTGTTCTAAAAGCGGAAATGGGTATACAAATTATGCTTAAATTTTTTTTCTAGGAGGTAAGGGTTGAACACTTTGGGAGAGATTTGTCGACGGGCTCTGCTCCTGCAGTGATTTTCGGATTCTTAATGTGAAATAAAAGATATGATTCATGAAGGAGAGTTCAGTTCATGAAAAATATTTTCAAAATATATTTTTTATTGTGTAAGAGTTGTGAAATTTATAATGTGAACATTGTAAAGAATGAAAGTAGTTGGAGAAACTGGAAAAATCAGCAAGAGTAGCACGCATTTAATATAAACAGCAAACAACCCATTTTGAATGTCAGATTCATAGATCATTTTAGAACTGATAAAAGTTTAGACAAGTAAAGTAACAAGAGGAAGAAGAAGGTAGATAACGCTGCCATTATAGAGCAGTTAAAGAGAGTATTCCTGACCACTGAAATGTTTACTTTTAGTTTGCTGAAAGTATGGATGCTTTATATGTATTTAGGAATTCCAACTGCTGCAATATTATTGTTCAGATCACATTGGACCAATCGACATTACCATGTCCTCTCTCTCTCTCTCTCTCTAAAAAAAAAAAAAAGAAAGTTCTTTGTTTCGCTTGCTTGACAAACGAGTATTAAGCAGTCGTTGCCAACCGACTTCTTGAAGCACAGTTATTTGCAGCATGACTGCTGGCACACGGCTCACACAAACAGTTAGACTGACGGCACGCAAACGCCCAGTTTATGCACAATTTGTTAGACGCTAAGTAACTGTACTAAATATAATGCATATATAATATATAAATTATTCGGTGAATTGAAAAACAAAACCATGCCTCTGCATGAGCAATAAATGAAGACAAGATTTTGATCTGCAGGAGTGCAACTTACGGAGCCCCATTTAAGTCAATTAGCCTCATGCTTGACGGGTAAATATATGAGTGGAGCGCACTTACAGGTGCCTAAGAGGTGGTTTAACTATGTGTTAACAATCTTCATTCTTTTTTTTTTTTATTTTGGTAATTTTTTTGCTACGACATTCGAGAGATACGAATAACTAATTGATAAAACATAAATGATGAAATAATTGATATGAAGTTATAGATAGTTAAAATAAACACATTTTAGTGGCATTAAGAAAATGTAGGACAACAAATAAGAATATATGTTATTCTAATCATGTTAATAAATTCTAACAAATCACAAATCCATTACATCAAATATTATGTTTAAGTAGAAAACTATAATATTTCCAGCACTCTTAAATTACAAAAATGTAAAGCACAACACTTTTGTGTTGCGCAAATATTTAAAAATAAATATAAATAAATAAATAAAAAAAAAAATTAAGAAATAAATATGTAAATATAATAATATGTAAATTGATAATATAATTGCATGTGCTTATTTAAATATTAATATTATGGCAACTCAGTTCTCAAGGTCCTATTATTACTATTATATCACCGCTGCTACATATTATATGAATTCAAATGCTTAAAGCACTATACTTATATAAACATATCTGTCTTGCGGCGCTCAAGGAGCAACAACTTATGAGTGGTGTATGAAAAGCCAAGGTAAAAAAATTATCGCACTGCGTGTCTAAGACGCAGCCAGGCAGACAAAACAAACTGTGCAGACAAAGCCAGACAATGAGCACAAATTCCACACTCACTGCAGTAAACCACGCACATACACACACACACACAGTCACACATACATATGCGTGCTTTTAGCTGTAAGCTTGGGGGCGAGTCATTTGTCTGCTTGAAAGTGATGCGCGTCTCATCAGTGCTCGGAGAGTAACAAAAAAAAAGGAAGAAAAGGGTAACAAGACATAGTTATTTATCATGTTATAAGTTATGATGTCAGCATGTTGGCATTATGTGACTGATAAGCGCAAGAAAATGAGCAGACGCACACACACACGCACACGCACACGCACACACTGATAGATAGCTCTAACATATAACAGAATACAAATGAAATGAAAAATCGAGGTGTAAATCCTTTGACGTTGCTGTCATTTATAGTCAGACTAGGCTGTACGGGCAGCACTTCTTTTTTTGAATAATGGCAGCTAGCACACACACACACAGATACATACGTAGGTGTATAATAAATGAAATAACCGAGAAACACAAAGGCAAGTTGTAAATGAAAAAGTTCATGCCAAGGACACATATGCAACGAAAGCCTCAATGACATATACGCATGTATAAACCAAGAGATAGAGGGAAAAAGAGAGAGAGAGAGAGAAAGACAGACAGAGAGAGAGGCAGCGCTGCATTTGAGCCAGCCCCAGGCAACTCAAGTCCAAGACGTGTGGCCGCTGTCAACAAGGCCTTGAGGCCAACAGCAATTTTTTTTCTTCTGCCCTTTTAATGGCGGTGAAATACTTTTAAGCCGTCTTTTTCTATATATATTTAAAAAATTTGCTAACTCGAAGCGGACTTCAACTGAAATTGTGTGTGCGCCCAACAATTAGGCAAAACACTTTTTGACACTGTGCTGCATAATTCATGAACCTAGCCAAAGCAAATGAAAGAGAACGTGGCAAGCAACGAAAGAGAGAGAGAGAGAGAGAGAGCGAGAGGGCAAATGGGCGGAACTGCAAAGTTTCAGTTGGCAGCTACAAATTAAAAGCTTTAATAAATATTTGATCAACATTTTGGCGCTCTGTAATTCTGCCACATTTTGGCCACTAATTTTCGCCTGAAGCCAAATCCCGCCTACTTTGGAGCACTCGGGGCGAGCACCATTGCCGGCATGCTGAAGTGAAGACAGTGCCTTCTTGAAATATTGACAGCTGGCTGCGTATATAATTCAAGCATTTGACTAAAGCAAATATCTAAACCAAGTGAACAGCTGGAAAGTACTGTACGAAGAGATGCTCTGTAATTGGGGCTTCAGATTGTAAAATGGGATTAATGTTCGTGCTTGAGTAAGCTTAAATACATCAATTATTATTTAAAATTATTATATTATATATATGTATATATATATTTATTATTATATTATATTATAGATGAATCATTATTATCATTAGGTTATCATCATAGTCAGAAAACAAATAATTTGTGAGCAAGAGGCTTCGGCTCTGTTCGTTTTTCAGCTTCGATCACAAACGAGCCTTCAACGAGCTGCTGCTCAACCAATGCAATCGGCTGCTCACCAATACCAAAGTATATTTTGCTAAGTTGCCAACTTT